ATAACTTAGGCGGACCAAGTTCTTGTTCAAGGATTACCGATAGTCTGAAAGCCAAACTCACCTCGACTATTTTATGTTAAAAGAGAAAAAAAACGAATAAGGTATGGAGAAATATTTTTGCTGAAAGTTATGCCGTCGGGAAGGAAGTGTAAATTCGACGAATGAGGCCAAAAAGGATGTAGTTTGGTTTTGAAGCCAACATGCTCGGGTGCCGCTTCCGTCGGGTAGCAGAAGATTTAGAGCTCGCAATGGTCGGTGAAGACCTGTACGCGGTAGGCTGGTGTGATGAAGCCAGGCGTGGTACGTGTTGGCGCACGTGCGGCAGGCTTCAGCCCGGATTGGTATTACGACGAGGGGAGACTGAATGCGTCAGTAGTCAGCGGGCTGTGATTCCACCGTCTGCCCGGAAGTTCGCAGACCGAGGAGCAGCGACTGCAGGAACACACATTGTACTAGTTGCGAATGGTTTCCTTGACCCTCTGTCGTGGACCCAGGGCCGTGGTCTCCGGAAGGGGTACAAGTGAGGCTACACGTCATGCCTCGCATGCCCACCATTCTATAATACAATGTCGATGTGTACGTCTGTAGGTATGCGTAAATATGTGCAATTTAATTTTTTTTAGAATCGGAAAAATCTGCGCGAAAACGACAGCAACCGAAACCACTTGTGCGACTGGGTCGAGAAGGAAAGAGTGCACTAGCTGCAAAAGTTTGGTAGAAAATAAGCAAGTGCAACTGTTTATAGATGCTTCAACGCGACGAAGGGGGCAATTGAGAAGAGAGGCAAGCCAGCTTTTCTTGACGACGAACGTTGGGAAAAGCTGTACTCTCGTGTTGGACAGTTTGGTTGTCTCCTTCCCGAGAGACTTTGAGTTGGCAAGGCCTAGTGAGACAACCTTCTCGAATGAGGCTAAAGGACGAAACAAGGCACGCGGAGGTCTCCTGGAGGCGTAGATGAAAGAGGCCATGCCAGAAGCAGACGAGACGGGACAGCGCTGCGGGAGACGATCAGTTAAGTCATCAGCGGAACCGGACATCTCTCGACGAGGCTGGAGTTTTGTTTAACTCTTGAATGGCCACGGTATTTGGTCGTCTTTCAGCCGCAAAATGGATGCTTAAACGGTTGGATCAAAGTGCCCTAAGCAGGCCGGCCCGTGAGTCTGCATCAATGAGAAGAGATCGTAAACCTAAATATCACGATGGACGTTCACATACTAACTCAAGTACACGGAGAGGAGTAAACATGCACACACAGAGCACAGAAACATTAGTGCCCATATACAGGAA